ATATGCAGCCATTCTACGACGTGGAAGTGGGGGTCAGACCTTTAGCATATGCATTTCAGGGCCATAACTTAGCCCAAGACAGAGGCTCTTTTCTAATCACACAGGGAAAGGTGGTTCTTTGCACGGAGTCTTTACTAGGAATAAAGAAGGTGAGAACTTTCCCACATAAAAGACTGGAGGATAGCCCTTGGCCCAGGGGTAAAGAGATATCCAGACTCTTAGGGAGTGACCCCTTGTTTGTTCTTCTCCCCTGAAGCCTCCCACTGGCCCCCTGGAGAACAGAAAGAGATTGCTGAGGGAACCAGAGGGGCTAAAGGGAATTACCAAGAAAAGTAAAGAAGATATAAATGGGGGTGGGAAGAGTGGCCAAGGGGCTATGATCTAAAGTTGACAGTGAGAGAGACAATGAGACCCTGAAACAGCTGAAGGCCCAACCTGAGGAGAGAAAGGCGTCTAGTCAGGAGCTAGAGAGGTAAGTAAAGGAATTACTTTTCCTCATGCGCAAGTCTCTGCCATGTGGATTCATGGCAACAGTTCATCCTTTACAGCCCTGGGAACTCTTCAGTATATTTATTTGTTGCCAACCAAGAAGTCAGAGGTCCCTGTCATCAGCAGAGGAGAGCCAGGGATATGGCTCGACCTGCAGCAGCCAGGGTCTTCTTGTACACTTCCACCTGGTACAGTAGGAACCCTTAACTTTGCACAGAGAATTTCAGCATGAGATAGTACAAAGCAGAGTTGGAGTTTATTCAGGAAAAAAAAAAAAAAAGAATGTTAACATGGGTTTAGGGACAGGGGTTAAGGAAAGAGTCATCTAGGGACAGATAAGACACACCCAAGCGTGGGTGGGGGCTTCACAAGGGAGCATGTTGCTTAAGTGCCCAGCAATAGCAGTCCATAGTGTTGGGGGAGCTTCTGGAATTACGTTGTTCAGAGGGATTCCTTTTTATCTCCTTCCCCCACTTATAGATCATGAGATTACAGAAGGCCTCTGCAGATGCCTTCGATAGGGTTGCAATCCAATAAGGCAAGGCATGGGCACTGAGGTTGTACAAGAAAGTAAAGGCATGTCGTTTAGGTAAATGAGTGTGTGTGTGTCCTTGGGAGAGTCCTAGAAAACTACAGGTTTGTAAATGAGAAAGGAATAGAGGATATATACTGGAATATGAAGGAATATACTAGAAGTTATATATACATTGCCTGTAAGCATGATGTACGGACATTTTAACATGCTTCTTTGAAACATATATAATATATATATATATAAAGGTAACACTGTCTCTGTGTAGGTAGCACCCACAGTAAAAGTTAATTGTCTTGGGATTCTTGACTTTAGGCTGGCAAGAGACTTCAACACTTTCAGTTTCCACACCATTAAGTTCCCTGTTTTCTATTCTTTTTCCTCTTCAGGTTCACTCAAGGAAAGCCTGGAGGCCAGTGAGCAGGAAACTTCTCCCTGGTGCCCCTCAAGATCTCTCCACCCCGGGCCACAGGCAGAGGCTCCCTCCTGGGGGCTTTGCCATCAGTCTGTTGTTCCCACAGTGTGGCTTTATGTACCTGTGACTCTTGGAGCCCCAATAAAAATGGAGCAAGAGCAGACCAGTGGAACATGGCAGGTCACATCTCAGGGTTATTGTTAGGGAATTAGATACTGATAGCTTAGAGGGGAGATATCTGCCCTTAAAGGCTTATTATAACTATAAAAAAAATGATTATAAACTTGCCAGTTTGAATAGATATAAGTCCTTTGCATTAGATGGTATTTTCCACTTAATTCTCCTCTGGGGGGCACTGGAGTCCAGTTAAGCCCCAGGAAAGTTGGCAAGTATCTGACATCTGGACTCTTCTGGTTTCGTGACAAAGGTGTACCCGTTGAATGAGCAAGGCAAACAGACTGCTTTCCCAATGGGGTGGAGATAAGGAAAGGGCAGGCCCCTCTGAGTCTCTAGGCAGAGTGGGGAGAAGTGGACAGGCCTTCCTGGGAGAGCCTCAGCCTCATTAGCATATGTTGTGACCCCTACCTCACCCCCCTTTCAGGGCTGCTCTCTTGGCCTGAATTAAACTCTCAGTGTGGAAATCTGTTAGGGAACGAGATAAATGCCAAGAAGGCAAGAGAGGAGAAAAACTGGGTAAGGTGACAGGGAAGATTCTGCCGCTTCCCAGCCTTCCCCACTGGGACTCAAGCATGTATCGCCACCCTCCCCTGCTGCCCACACCAGCAGGCTGGGGTGGAGACCTGAGGAAGAAGATAGGCCAAACAGAGGCTGGAAGCTGCCATGGAAGAGAGAGGCCAGGCCCAGAGTCTTGAGTGTGTTTTCTTTGGGGGGAGATGCTGCATAAGTGAGCCGTGATGGTTTGCAGGAGCCCGGCAGTCAGGGCTCAGCAGACACTCCTCTGAAGGGGGTGGGGATGCCGGCTGGCTGTGGCAGCATCGGGTGGGTCACTGCACAAAATGGTTTTTATAGTTCTATTTGGCTTCACAGTCCTCAAACATAGACAAGCTGGAGGGCGGGTGGCTTTAAGATCCACTTGTGTGCCATTAAAGCACCCAGATGGGCATTCTAAGGGTGTCTGCACTCCCAGCTTCTTAAGCAACAACAGAAAAAAAGCACAGAAAGGCAACCACAGTCAGAATACCAGGTTTTCTTTGTTTCCACTAAAAAAATGCCACTCTCCCCAGGTACAGTACCTTCCACCAAAATGTGGCATTGACTTTTAAAATACAGACAAAAGGGCAGCCAAAACTGTGGGTGAACAAGAAATAAAATGAGCGGTGTTATCCTGGGGTGTTTCAGTCGCAACTCCACGTCCACTTCAGAAGCCAGAACAGGGTTCTTCCATACCCATCGTGGGAGCATGGAAAAATCCCAGCCATCATGTTCAGAAAATGGCTCATGAAACATTCAAAGACTTCATCTCAGGTCATCCATGGTCACTTTTAGATCATCTAAAGGGTATGCCAGATTAGCAAATACAACTGCAAAAATCGGGATCCTAGAGACAAGAAGAGCGCTCCACCACTATGAATTATGACCTTTGCATTGTAGAGTCTATGCTGTCCTGACATCTGATTGCAGCAAAAGGCCAGACTACACTGGAGCATGCACTGACGTCAGCTTCAGGAGCTGTCTGTATGCGAAGGTGATCAGCAAACAGCCTTACGTCTGCAACACACACACACTCACGCATGCATGCACGCACACCCCGAAGATCCATAAGACTAAAACATTCAACAATATTCAGCAGCCATGTCCTGAAGTCTGGAGAAGCCCTAGCTGTGCTTTCAAATAGATCCCTGGATTCTGGGTGTCATCTTCTTTGGAGGTATATGGTTTAAAGTGAGAGGAGGAAAGGAAATCTTTTTTTAAAAGCCACTGTTAGTTCACTGAGGAAAGAAGCTGCCTGCACCCACTGAGGGTTTACTCCATAGTTGGTGGTAGACAGAAGACTCTTGTCTTGTTCACAGAGACATTCGTTATGAGGGAAAGGCCTCATAAAGGGGGGGCCTTTCCTTCACAGCCCATGTCTCTGGGAATATGCTGGGCCACTATCAAAGGTTCTGATGCTAGTGCTGTGGCTATGGCCTCATATCTAGCGCCCAGTGGAACCAAGGGTTTATTTTACACCCACAGCTAGAGGACACATTGTGGAGATCTGTTCAGCTGTGTATAACTCTACACAGGGGTTCTCTTCTCCCCTAGACAGTCCCTTAGTTCTTGGTTTATGACTCCATGGTTTCCCCTGTCAAGGGCTGAGACTGTTCTCCAGAAATCCAAAGAGCTGACACACAGCATGTCACGTAAGAAAAATCTCAGCCTCAAACTGACAGTGTGAGAAAATGACGGTCTGTGGAGAGAAAACAGAAAAACTACACTCGTGGGTCAGCTGAGAATTCCCAGCAGTTTCTCCACTCCTGAGATGTATGTACCTTGGGACAGTTAACCTATGATTACACAGATGGGGCTGGGGTCTGAGCCATCGGGAAAGCTATCCAGCTTCTCTTTCAATCATAATGTCCAACTGTTTCTGCTCCCTTTCCAGCTCTGATCTTAACACACGCCAATGACAAGACGGGTTGAGCCTGGTTCCTTATCCCCGACTGAGGTAGCAAGCAAGAAAGCACATGATGATGTGCAAAGACGAGCCATGGCCTTCCAGAAAAATATGAACTGACTGATGACTGCCTGTGGTTTGCCAATCAACAGGCCCATTCATGGGAGGAAGCCTGCCCCTGAATAAGCCAAAGAACTGGAGATAAGCAGGAACATAAAAGGGGGCCTTTCCTTAGCAGCCCAGAGGGCACAGACTTAGAAAGTCCCAGGGGACACAGAAAGGACCTTTTCATAGTGCAACCCAAACCCAGATTCATGGGATTTGGCTAAAGGAAGGCTTCTGAGGAGATGGCCCAGACAATCTCCGTGTAGAATCAATCCATCCACAAACAAATGCAGGAAGCAGAATGGGACTCAGGGAGAAGACAAGAGAAATGGGGAGCTACAAGAGTCAGTCAAGAGCATCTGCCCAAAGCTAGGTGATTGAACAACGAAGCAAGAAGAAACACTGACTGGCACCTCCAGCTACCTTCTGGAATTCATTCATTCATGGGTCCATCACTCATTTCCCTACTACTTTCTACAGAAATTTCTCATTCCACAACAATGGGGTAGGGGAGAAGACCCTCTGAGGAGACAGAGGAGAAAAGCATCACTCTTGGTCCTCATCAACTTAAGATATCACTTCCTCTTATTGCAAGGTACTTTCTATTGACAGAGAATAATAACATTTATTAGGACATTTAGAAAACTATTTGGGGCCCTCTCCTAAATGAGCAAGAAACACATTCTTATGACAGGATGCTCCCCTCTGATACCCCATGCTCAGCTCAGGAGACTTATGTGTCAACACCTATCCTGCTGTTTCCTGACTCTTGGTGCCTTGTTTCTCGACACGGGAAGATGCTTTCAGCAGCTTTCCAGTACTGTAACAAACACCTCGGACAATCCAATTATAAAGAAAAAAGGTTTATTTAGATTCACTGTTTTGGAGCCTTTAATCCATGATTTGCTGGTTGGGTCTATGCTGAAGATAAGCATGATGGCTGCTCACATCAAGGTGCCCAGGCTGCAAGGGAGGAGAAAGTAACCTTTGACAATCTGCTTTGAGACCTGTGTGAACAGAAGGCTCTGTGCTATGCCATTTTTTTTTTCAAAGTCCAAGGACAATTTTATTAGAGTTTAACAGAAAAATTCCAAAGCAGACAAGCTGTAAATCTCAGCAGCTGCCTGGAGGAGGAAGGACAGAGATAAGGAAGAGAGGAAGCCGTGCTGTCTGGGTTAAGCGGGCATGGAGATCAGCCACATGGTGGACAAGCAGACACACAGTGCGCAGGGGAGCTTTAGAGAAAGTGTCACCCAACGTGTTGAAGAAAGCACACCTAGAAAAGAGGTAGGAACAGGGAAAAGAAGAGCTATGCTTTTCCTGCAGCTGTGAGTGCCTGCGCGGAGGGCAAAGATTCTGAGGAGGAAAGCACATTAGCTCCTTAAAGGGATAGCCATTACTCCTATCTTTTTAGCATGGCTAATAGAAACCTGCCTTCCTGATTGGGGGTTTCTTGGCTGGGAGATTGAGTGGACCAAGCACATTTCTGCGACTGCTGCTTTTGGAGGCCCCGCCCCGAGCTGCTTGTCCACTTCCTGTCTATCATTCTCAGTAGTCACCACCTGTAGATGAAACTCTAATGGCCATTTAATGAACTGAGGCATCTGTTGATCTGGCTTCTTTGTAGGGCAATCTAGGGGATCCCCTAAGTGTATCAGTAGTTCTATCTCTTAACAATTTTAACACCTCCCACCAGTGCTAAAAGCTACAGACCAAATCTTTAACACAAGAGATTTCGGTAACACTTACCGCAACCATAGCACCAGGCAAAAGAAGAACTTGGTCTAAAGTGGTGCTTTTTCAAACTGGGAGCTGTCAGTATCTCAGGACATATCACTCCATGTTGTGGAGATTGACTTATGTAAATGACATTTGGCGACATTCCTGGCCTCTACCCACTAGCTGCCAGTAGAACCCACTCCAGGGTAACAAAAATGTCTTTAGATGTTGCCACACATGCCACGGGTATGCATGACTGTCCTTAGTTGAAACCTTAGTGTAAACGGCAATGTCCAAGCTAGAAGCCACATGTGGTCATTTTGCATGCAGCTAGTTCAAATTGAGATACGACATCATTACAAATTCAAATATTTAAATAAAAAACAAACCATGTAAATTATTATGAATTAGGCTAACATAGTTCAGTATGTCTATATTTGGTGTTGTTTATTTTGCAATGATTTTTTTAAAAATTCATTAGGGAAATTAAAATACTATAATTCATTTTAACCTCCTTTTTCTTTTCTCTTCTTATAATGTAGCTACTAAGAAACTTGAAGTAAAAAAATGTTGTTCACACTGAGCCACCTTTAATTTCCTCAGCTCAGCATGGGGGCCCGGACTCTAGCTAAAGTCCCTCTCTGCTCCAGTTCTGTGGGTTCCCTCACCCTGTAACTGACTACTACAGGCCAAAGAAACTTTCCAGCACTCTCTGCATCCAGCCAGAGCATAGTAGCACAGAAGCTTGTTTAATAAACTGCTGACACTCTCCCCTGAAGTGTCTAAGTCTCTTTTCTCCCATAAAAACTGAGTGAACGCAACAGCCTCAGCACCAAGAGACAATCCTGCCCATCCCTAGAGGAAGCCGCTCCACTCTCAGTATCCTGCCCTGGCAGCCTATGGATGCCAGACACCCAGCACTTAGCAGTCTGGAAAGCCTGCCTCTCCGTAGCCATGTAAAGTTTCTATTCTCCTGGAAACAGTGTAGCCATCCCAGCAGGACTGCATGGGGGTTCTTATGCTTGCAAAATGATCCTCATCCTCCTCACTCACCTTCCCTCCCACAGCCACTTGAGCCCTGCACCAGGCAATATTATTATTATTATTTTTTATAAATGGCCAATTGGAAATTTGTGCCACTCCCCACTCCCTGAAAATTTAGGTCTAAAGGAACTATCTCCATTCAAACGCTACAAGAGCAGTAAGAAACTCAACTTCAGGAGCCAAGAATGGTGGTGCAGCATTCAAGAGCTACATGGAGACAGGAAGACAGGAGTTCAAGGCCAGCCTTGATTGTATAACAAGTTCGAGGCTGGCCTGGGTTACATGAGTCGTTTCAAAACCAAACAAGCCAAACAGTGATACATGTCTGCAATCCTGCACTTGAGCACAGAGATAGGTGGATGGATCTCTGTGAGTTCAATGCCAGCCTTGTCTTCAAAGCACATTCCAGGGCTACATAAAGAGACCCTGTCTGAGAGAGAGAGAGAGAGAGAGAGAGAGAGAGAGAGAGAGAGAGAGAGAGA